ATGATGATGGTGATGATGGTGATGATGATGATGATGTTGGTGATGATGTATTGAATACTTGATGATGTATTGATGATGATGATGATGGATGATAATCCTCAAGTGATGCTGACGATGTATAAATGATGATAATGTTTTTGACATGTATATGATGATAGATGATAATGACCATTATGGTGATGGTGTGGTCTGATGATGATAGTGTTGATGATGATGTTTATGATGAAAATACTGCTATTTAAAAGTACAACAAAGGAAACTAATATGTAAACAAGTCTTTTCACTCCTGTGCTTCTAACCTTGGCTTCGTTCCTGTTTCAGGGTGCCCTGTATACATCACTGCTAAAGAAACGTGCTGACCTGTCACATGACCTTGACTGTGCACCTTACATGTTGGCTACTAACAAACACCTTCTTGATATTACTAAATACAGGTCAGTAGGCTTGCCATTTGTTTGTCCATCCATCCATCCATCCATCCATCCATCCATCCATCGACCTACTCATCCATCCATCCACCCACCCATTAATATCTATACGTACCATTCTATCCCAGCCAGCCAGCATTCCATCCTTTCATTCATTTATTGCCTCGTTATTTAGACCAGACAACAAGGAGAATCTACTGCGTATAGACGGCATATCTGAGAGACAGTGTGAACGAGTTGGAGATCAACTTATCCAGTGTATCAAGGAATTCTGTTCTGAGAACAACTTTTCTACCAATATGTTCCTTGATCAAACTGACACCTCTATGGCAACTGCGAAACCACAGGAAGCCCAGGTATCAAAACTTAGTATACGCTGTGTTTCTTGATTATAGACCTTGACGGACAGACTCATTTACTTCAGGGTTAGCCACATTTCAGTATTGAAATATTAACAAATATCAACTGTATATCAAAGGATACACAACTTAAACAATAGACCCCTTGCATGTGACATCAAAGCAGCTCAAATTTGGAGGACAAAACAAAAGAATATCAATCTCAAGAGAATTGGAAATCTATTGTTGTGTCCTTCAAACTGAGCTGCATTCTGACGTGTGGCGAGGAGTCTATACAAAAATTTTTGGTATTGAAAATAAACAAAAAAAACTTTTTATTTGGATGTAGAATTGGTGTCATGAGGTGTTTTGCTTTTATCAGGAGACAAGACAAGAGCCCATGGGTACCCTCCTGCGGGAAATAAGTGACACAACTCACACGTCTTATGACTGGTTTCACGAAAAGAATATGTCTGTGGTAAGTTAGTTATAGAATTTGTTTACAAATAATTGTATGTCATGCAACGGTAGCCTCATTTGTAAAGAGACTTGGTGTAGACTACTTTCAGAGTAGATTTCGACACGATACGGTCAATTAAGTTTAGACCAATCACAGTGCGAGAGATAAATGATCATAAAAAATGCCAACATTACCGTCACGGTCACGGTACTAGTAAGACATCTCGTGAACCAATCAGAGTGAGCGAGATCACTGCTTATCCAATAAAAATGCTCGCTCAATCATAGTATTGCTTTGGTTCTTAATGCTTTTTTTCTACAGAAAGAAATATCTAAAGCGAGGAATTTAGTAGAAGGAACAATAGTGAATCACTTGACGGATGCTTTCCGTGCTGGGTATCCTGTGGACTACAAACGACGTGAGTAGACCGGGACCGTTGTCATTTCCACTTATAAGTATAGGATATTTATTAAAGTATTGTGTTTTTGTTTGTACAGTTGGAGTGACGGAAGAGGTGATAAAACAGGTTACACAGGTTATTAGATCTCCTCCAATCAATTCTGGTAGGTACACGAGATATTTCCATCTATGATAGTCTAATGGCACAACTGGGCACTGGGAGAATGGACGGCTTTTTTTTCAACCAATCAAAGCCCGTGAGATTACTTCATACGGAATGAATATTGTTGGACATTTGCTCTAATAATCCAGCCGCTTATTTGCCTCTCGTAGTCTTGTTGCGAAAGGCCGGTATACAAAATCGCGTGACAATTTCCCGCCAAATCGAGCAGTGAACATAAGCTTATATGGACGGTTTTTTTTCCATGTTCCCGCGACTTCGAGATCTTCCAAATAACTAGATGTTTTGGCTTCCGTTGGTCCAATTATTTTTACCTCTGATCTTTGAAGTTTGATGCGGGACAGAAGTCAAAACACGAGAAAATGTGCCACACTTATCTGGAGGCGTCTGGGTCGTCTCATCTCTTTTTTTCTCTCACTGATTTTTTCTATTTAGACATCAGCAATCTTTCCGCTATCAAAGAGAAACTACCAAGTCAAATCACGTATGGACACATCAAGATGGTGATTGCAATCTTGGAAAAACAATGCAGCACTTCAACCCACTTCAACTCATTTAATCGTTGGGCTTCTGGGGACTCGCAAATAAGGAATCAGAGCTCTTATTCTCAAGGGACAAAGCGTAAAGTCCCTGAATGGTTATCGAACCCATCCAGTGGTAAACTGGGTGGTAAAGTTAAAAGGAAAAATCCGTTTTGAAGATTAGATGTTTATTAGGAAATCACTGTGTGTATTTTGCACACAACACGGATATCTTGGCAAAATTCTTGTGTTTGAATCCATTCTGTTAGATGTCACACAGGACTTGGACATTTAATTCAAATAAGGATTATTAATCAAAACGAACCAACAAAACTTCTAAAGTCTGACCACATTTATTTTTGTACAAACCTTTTTGCTATAGTAAGTCATGTTGTACAAGGTACATTAATACGAGAAACCAAATAAAGGAGAGGGGCAAGACCATTGACACAATTTTTTTGCGATTAAAACTATATTTAAACTGGCCCTTCATTGTAATTGTTTAGAATGAAGAATGTTTGATACAAATCTGACCGAACATGCTTGTAATTATCACTAAAAAAACAACAAAAATCATCAAAACCTTGTACGAGTCTGTAGGTCGTATTCTAATACTGCTGTAGAGCGGGTAGCAGGTTACTTTCTTTTGTTCATTTTCGCTGTTCGTCGTAACAGACTCGATCCTCTCCAAAGATCACCCTATTGAATAAAAACAAGAAAATAGAGCGTTATCACGTGACGTCACAGCAGCCATATCGATGTACCAAAACCTTTTCTAACCTCGGGAATTGAACTCTATTTTTATGAAAAAACTGTGCGAACGTTTCTGTTGTTTGGTACGCCAATATGGCTGCCTTGTCACGTGATGCACTAGAAAATAAGAAATGTTTCCTAATCGTTTTTGATACCATTCACCTATTTTTGTCATTATTACACAGCCAGGGCTCTGGCTTCCGTCGATCAAAATAATTGCTAACTTAAGCACTGGCAGATCTAGGAATGTTAGCATGGGGTTAGGGTTATTACGACTATTACAAAGGTTTTATCAGGAATGCAAGGAAAAGGGGTGGCTTTCCGTTATCTGAATTCTAATTGGTCAAAGAAGAATAGACCTTTCTTGGAATATTTCTAGGTGTCCACGTTTCTCGATTCGCACTGTTAGTAGTTTCCCTTCATTTCAGAACAGTGAAGGTTTTTTAAGAAACTCTCGCACCTATTAAGGGACTGCAACCGCAATTAAATTAGCTACATTATTTCACAGGGAAAATGGAAGAAACATGTTTTGATACTGGCGACTATTACGAGAAGTCTCATGCTGTATATCGCGAGAAGTCAGACGAGGTAGTCAGGGATAAAGAAATCCTTGAAGTTCATCTTCCAGCTGTTGTCAGAACAATTCTCGAAGACAATCAACCGA